CCAAACTGTCTCGCATCCAGTTCGTTGCGCAGATAAACTGCTGTAATTGTCCCCGCTGTGACTGGCACTGGCATTGAAGTGAGCCCATCAATCCGTTTTGGGTCATGGCGAACACCATTCTCATCAATCACCTTACCACACCACGTAACTGAGCGTTGGTACAACGAGGACTTCTTCAGACTCAACTTCAATCCGAATTCGTTCACCAAGTCAAACAGTCTCTCTAGAGCAACAAGGTAACTCTCTATAGTGTCAGAGTAGAACAAGAGATCGTCAATCCAGATAAGTAAATTGTGATCGAGTAGCTCAGCGAAACAGTTCTCCATCGAGACTTGAAAATGTAACGCCGAGTCACAACTTCCTTGCATCACACGGGTTGGCGTGAACACGCCCTCATCCGTCATATACGAGAGCTGCTCTCTGCATTCTATCGCCACAGCAAGTTGCCAAAAGCTGCGGGTAAAGTCGAAAAGACCGTAGTGTTTCTTTCCTTTCAATCGCTCCAACTTTGTCTTCAAGTTTGGCATGACGCCTGCAATTGCTTCGGTCATCGCATTCAATGGCTTGTAATCCACCGCTTGGCGAAACTCATTGACCTTCGGCTTCTTACGAGGCAGAGCAGCGCAAGCCCAATGACTGCTAGGGTTTTTGTAAACCCAGCCAAGGTTCACTAGAGTCTGGTTGAACTCCTTCAGGAACGCACTCTGTAAGGGTCCGTACTGCCGAGCTTTGCAGCGGAAAGGCTTTGCATCCTGCTTCAAGCGAAGCTTGTACGGTGGCACCTTAGCAGGAGGGTCGTCACAGAGAACTAGCCGCCAAATGTCGTGCTTCTTAGCGATTCGACGCAATTCCTTCATGAATTTCATTGAAAAACCGTTATCCAGTGCAGTAGTGAGCAGTTTTTCAAGGCCTCCCTGGATATCAAGGTCATTTGCATGACCAGGCCGAAATTCATCATCCCTCGCAATGGGATCCTCATCGTCATTGAGTTTACCACCAGCAAGTTGCTCGAGTTGTCTGTCCACATTGATTCCAAGAGAGAGCAGCACATCGTTACCGACGATAAATTCATCATCGTTTTGCTCAATAATGAGACAATTGACGGGTTCTGCGAGCTCCACAGGTCCAGCAGTAGTATGTAGACGAATTGACAGCAGTACAGACTCACGCGCTTCAACATCGTGACCGCCAACAGCTTTCCCAATCACTGGTGTGCTCAACGGGACAGACTTCACGTTGTCGTCGAGCCGCATGAGCTCGTTGAAGTTGTTCCGACTCAACAGGCACCTGTCCGAGCCTGTATCCGCACAGTACTGCAGGTCATACACGTCGTTCAGCGTGATGGTACTCACTCCACCCAGACGCTTCTTAATCCGCTTCATCCTGCTCTTGTCATGGCGAGAGGTATGAAACTTCTTCGGTAATTCCTTCTTCTCCTCTGGAGACGCAGTTGGGCAATTCGACACATAGTGTGGCCCACTGCATTTAAGACATCCGTCTTTTGGTACGAGAGGTCGCTTCTTCTCTGAGTCCTGGTTTACTACAGATCGTGTCGCTCGATTGACATCCCCGCCCTTAGATTCATGTGTGCCACGCTGGCGACGGCCATGCTGGTCACTCAAACTCTTATGATCCTGGAGCTTGGGCACCTTCTCAGACCTAGCGAACCTCTCCTCGTTGCGTGAACGTTTGCGACGGCGAAAGTCGCGATCCTGCTCCAACGCCTTTTCCAAGATCAGGTCATGGAGTTTTAACTCGTCACTACGCGCCTCCGTCGATTGGAAACGAATAGCAGTTTGCACATCTGCTTTGAGCTCACTGGGCGTCAGTGACTCAATAAGCAGTTTACACTTCTCTTTTTGACCGTGCTGACCTTCAAAACAGGTCACTAGACCGTGTTCTTCGATCAGTTCGTTGCAAAGCATGAAGTACTGCAGCACGCGCTCGTTCACGTCTGTTTCAGACATGTTAAGACGCAGCTTCTTACCAAAAAGCATATCTATGTCGGGAAGTGTGTCGTTTATAACACGTTCGACAATCGCCTGAATTTCCGACGTAATTTGGTCATCGGTCACAGCGTTGGGCGCAATTCCGCCCCAGCGGTAGGTACAGAGAGCCTTCAACAGTCTTTCGTCGACGGTACTCTTAATTGTTTCCTTGAGCCGCTCGTAGAGTTCATCATCACCCTTGCTGCGAGCTTTCACGCTCTCTTCATACTCAGCTCGAGCTTTCTTCCACTTGATTAAT